TTTCCTAATATTTTTAAAGCACAAGTAAGCACTATTATCTTATAACTGAGACAAATATAATATTTCTATTTAAATATCTATCATACAAACAAATAGTATGTTATTTTGGGAGAAAACTCATTATTCGGTTTTCCAAAAATTTAAATTTTATAGTTTTGGAGGGAAAATTTGATTTTCTGGTTTTGGCAGAGAAAAAAACAATTTTGAAATTTTGGTGGAAAATTTGATTTTTTTTATTTGTGGGAAAATAGATTTTTCAGTTTTGGTGGAAAAACTCGATTTTCCGGCAAAACTCGATTTTGAGGTTTTTGTGTGAATATTCGATTTTATGGTTTCAGGGGAAAACTCGATTTTAAGGTTTTCGTGTGAAAATTCAATTTTGAGGTTTTGACAAAAAATCCCGAGTTTGCGGTTTTGACGAGAAAATTCAATTTTGCAGTTTTGGCGAAAAAATCAATTTTGTGGTTTTGTCAAAAAAAAAAATCATTTTTGCGGGTTTAACAAGAAAAATCAAAATTTGATTTTAGTGGGAAAACTCGTTTTTGAAGTTTTGGTGAAGAAATTTAATTTTATGGTTTGGTGAGAAAACTTCAATATATATAGTTAAATATTGTATAGAAATTGTAAGAACTCGAACAAATAGACTAAATTGTAACCCTCAAAGTTAATTATGGTTGTTTGATCCAAAAATGGTGTGTTTGTAGAATCATAACAATAAAAGATTTAAAAATTGAATCCTTAAATCCTTGAGGTTTAGAAGAAATCAACAAAGAAATCAAATGAAAATGGAACATCAAATAGATTTTTATTAATCATAGATTCTTTACAAAATGATTTGAAATGTAAAGTGAATCTATAAATCTCTATAAGAAGTGTTCCATGTCTAAGAATGAAATAGAATCACTTGCTAAAGAGAAATGTCTTTTTATTTATAAAAGGATGGAGCCTAGGACTTCCAAATAAAATAGGCCTAATTCATTGTCTAATGGACCTTAAGGGAGGATGTAAATCCACCCCCAACAGTAAGTCCTCCCAAGTTCGGAGAGAGAGACGAAGTCAATCCCTATGAATTTTATGAATAGGGTTTGTTAGACAATGAACTAGACACATTCATGCCTGTGACGATTTAGGCAAGTTTACTTTGAGCTTATGCCTAGTAAAAGACGAGTTTTCTTTAAATTTGTGCTTAGCGAAAGACGGATTTACTAGACTCATGGTGAGACGAAGGCGAGTTTACTGAGAACTCGTGCCTAGTAGAAGGAGAGTTTCTGTAAACTCATGCCTAGTCAAAGAAGAGTTTTTGTAAACTCGTGTCTAACAATAAGCGAATCAACCGCAAACTCATGCCTAATAAAAAGCAAGTTCAATTTAAACTTGTGCCTAAAATACACGTTTACCAAACTATTGCCAACCCGAAGTCTCGTATTGAGATCGTGTGTGCCGAGCAAGTTGTTGGTGTGTATGCTCGTCGGTCTATGATGGTGTTGAGAACGTGCCGGCTTGTGTTGCTTGTACTGCTTCCGCAAACTCTAGCCGAGAGCCATCTTTCGAAGCATGAGGACATGATGGTGACAACCACTTGTTGGTTTTCTTTTTCTCTTTGGTTCAATGATCACTGGTTCACAAAAAGCATAATCATGATTAGACCAATATAATCCAAAGAAATAACCAACTTTGCATAATTAATAATCAAGCAGTGGAGTTTGTTTCTACTTAGTGCTCGCGAGTTACATGATGACATGATAATTATTAATATCATAATCTACTAGCAACAAAGCAATAACCAATCACATATCACATGAGTCATCGTATAAGAGTTATACAAGAATGAGCTACTTAAAATTGTATAATAATTTAAAGCAAAGCCATTTAAATATGATCAAAGCAAGTGATGATAAAAGAACTTATGTTTCGGTGGAGAAGAAACAAACGTCCGAGATCAAATTATGACTCGTGACTAAGAAGCTTGTTGTGATGGATGCGTGATGACATTCCGGTCTATAGCTCTGCCGAGAGCAAGCTCTAAGATGATCGCCGTGTTGCTGGAAGCAACAAGTCGCGGCTTCTTGGAGAGATGATCAGAACACCCATGAATCACCGATGAAGTATACTTGTCAAACCCATGAATCATGTCCTCTGTTTTCTTTTGTTCCTTTTGGAGCCTGAATTAGAGCTTGAAGCTTTGAGCTGCCCCAGAGATCACCGCTGAGCCTGGGCTTGTTCTCATCTCAGAGCTAACGGAAGAGCCGTTGAGAGGAATCAGTTTGGGATCTCTTGTTCCACCGTTGACTCAGACACTTATGACAGTTTAGTACTTCTGATGATGAGAATAACGTAACCAACTCTGTCACTTTCTGTACTGAACCAAGATTCACCTGAGATCAGTAACGCAACAAATGAAGCTGCTCCTCCTCACGCTTCAATTCAACCTGAAACACTTAGCAAAGCTCGAGCTTTCTTTACAACCCACTCAAGTGTTCGATCCCACATCAATCCGAAAGCTACAAAACCTTAGCACTGTAAATCTTGTCTCAGCGGACAATAATAGCAAAGGATTTTCTGAGGAACTTAGCAAATCTTGAATCTTTGTGGCTTAGATTTCTCGTGAGTTTGACCTTGAGCGTGCTGAATCTTCTCCACTGAGCTCAAGTAGCTTTGCTGTCGAGAGAGGGTTGAACGGTCAAACTTGTCGCTTTCTGCAAACCAGCAAAACAAATCTCTGAGCTTCATAACTGGAAGGACAAAGTCTTGATCTGTCTTTGATGGAGCTTGAAAGATCAAGTTTTGAGCTTTGTCTAGAACAAATTCTTGAGCTGTCTTCAAATTTTGGTGGGAAGAAAGCTTCTTCCTTTGTTTGAAAACCACTGTGGTCTCCTCTTCGTCGAACCAAGCTGGTGATAACAGTAAGAACAGCAATCCTTTGAAGTCATGATCGAGTCCATGGTTACAGGAATGACGGTAACTACCACCACCGACCGGAACTTGTTTTTGTCGGCTATTCTTATCTCAAGGTCGTCACTTTTGTGATTAGATAAAATTTGTTGCTGACATCAAGTCTTGAGCTTTGCTGGTCTTGAACTTGAATCCACTCGTTGGTGAAGACTCTTGAAGTTCGATAACGCCGTTAGCTTTGCTGAGATCTAACTCTGAGATATAGTCAACCTTAGAAAACAGATGACGAGATGACGGATGATTGGCTCAAGATCCTTCTTTTTTTCTTCCTCTTATCGTTCTACGCCTTTACCAACGAAACAGTCAGATGATAAGCTCGTGACGACGAGGAGATTATGAGATCTGTTGGTCCAATTTGGGCTTCTTTGTCGAAATTATTATTGTCTTTGAGCCCAAATCCTCGGCTGCTGTAAGCCAAGATCGAGTAGAACCGACGATTACACAGATCTATGATTCACTCCCAAATTTGATTCTTTGAAGATAGTTCTCTCTAGCCCCTTCTTCTAGGGCCAACTGTTTGATCTAAAAATGGTGTGTTTGTAGAATCATAACAATAAAAAATTTAAAAATTGATCCCTTAAATCCTTAAGGTTTAGAAGAAATCAACAAAGAAATCAAATGAAAATGCAACATCAAATAGATTTTTATTAATCATAGATTCTTTACAAAATGATTTGAAATATAAAGTGAATCTATAAATGTTTATAAGAAGTACTCCAGGTCTAAGAATGAAAGAAAATCCCTTGTTAAAGAGAAATGTCTATTTATTTATATAAGGATGAAGCCTATGACTTCCTAATAAAATAAGCTTAATTTATTATCTAATGGGCTTTGAGGGAGAATGTAAATCCACTATCAACAATAGTCAACCCATTTTATGCTATCTTTAAAAAGTAAGCGTCAGAAACTAAAGACTTTGATACTGCCATACAGGGTTAGCCGGTTAGTGCTAATCATGTTATGTTTACCTCTTGTTAAGACCATGTTCAACGGGGGGAACATGAGAGTCCTTAACCCTTCCCCCGATGCACTTAGCCTTTTTTTAATAATATTTTGTCCTAAATCACTAAGGATCAGAACGAAAATAAGGATTTTATTTCGTTGATCCTTAGCTACGTGGCAACTGGTGGTTCGTCGATCATTTTTACGCTTTCGGTATCGTCGAAGAAAAGTTCAATTCGACCGAGAACGAGAAAAAAAAAATTTCTCTCGAGAGAAAAGGCGATTTCGATAGATCCGGAGAACAAGGTAAATCGATCCGTTAACTTGTCGATTTATGGTTTTAGATTAGGTCTGTCGTTGTTTTCTTGTCAATTTACGGTTCGATTGAATCGTTTTCAATGGATTTGTGTTTTGAAAATTAGGGTTTCGAAGGATTTGGGGATTTGGGGTTTCGAAGGATTTGGGGATTTGGTGATTTACGGTTCGATTGAATCGTTTTCAATGGATTTGTGTTTTGAAAATTAGGGTTTCGAAGGATTTGAGGATTTGGGGATTTGGGGATTTACAATCAATCTTCTCCGATTATATCGTTTTGATCTTCTTTACGTTTTCAAAATCCCTAGTCGTTTCACTCCGATCTTCTCTCATCTTCTCTCATGTTCTTTACGGTTAATAGATTTTCCTGTAATGAAATGTGTTTGTTGTTGTATCTGTATTGAACTGTGTTTGTGATTGTTCTGTTTCTTTAGATTCATAATCCTTATTAACTACTCGTACATGATTTNCCGGTTCAGTACACATCTCAACATGAGGCTGATTCCGGAATCCCTAGGAGATGCTACTGTGGTGGTGAGCCTGCTGTTGCTACATCCTACACGCGCAAAGATCCAGGGAGACGGTACATCACCTGCGACAATGTGGACGACGGTGACTGCCACATTTGGAAGTGGTGGGATGTGGCAGTCACGGAGGAGATGAGTGAGACTGAGAGACAACTGAGGCTCCTTAAGGATCAAGGTTTTCAGGCGGAGGAGAAGCTGGTCAAGGTACAGAAAACCGTCTGTGAGCTTAGGAAGAACGTTCGAGAGCTAAAGACCGTTTGTGTAATGGTGTCCGTATTAGCTTGTATAGGTTTGGCGGTTATGTGTGTGACTGGTAAGCATATCTATTGTGCTTTTTGTTGTTCTTCATGCTATTTAGGTAAGACTTTTGACTCTTTGTTTTCATGTTTTTGCAGGAAGAGGTGCAAAGAAGTAAACCACAAGTCGGCATAATTAGGTACGATACTACAACTTTGATTTCAGCATTCTATTTTGTTTAAAAAATATAATCTATACGTATTAAGAAAATTCAAAATGATATACTATAGTAAACTCAAAAATATAATCTATACGTATTAAACTCAAAAATATAATCTATAAGAATAAATTTGGGTAAAACATCCTTATCATATCATCATCTTAATATTAAGTTTAGTTCATATCGTCAACTCACTACTTATTTTATGAAACCAAATGTGATAAATGCTGTGACCGTAAATCACCACTAGTTAGTTAACTAGTTACTAGTTACTAGTTATTACTAGTTACTACTAGTTACTAGTTAACTTAAGACGCAACTAGTTATTACTAGTGAGTAGTTAACTTGTCTTTATTAGAGAAGAGTAGTTGTTTCCAACCGGCCCAGATGTGATTGTTTTTAATGTTTTACAGCTTTAGAATAGGGTTCTAGGGTGATTTGATCGGTGTTTAATGCAACTATTGAGCTTTATATCTTCCAAACTACTTCGTTTTTATTATCTTTAATTGTTTTCCGTCTAAGTTAACCTACTTAAGTCGTTGTGTTGCTATTAGAGTGACACAACCGAGTCTCTAAACATGGATAACAACTCTAGCTATGTTAACCTTCTCTTTAGTCAAAGCCAATCAGCCGTGGACCTTGATTCACCCGAACCTTTTTGGTTTGGTAGCCAAGGTCCTGATGCGTCTCCAAGTGTCGAATCTGGTGTGAAGGAGAGGAGGAAGTGGACCACGAAGGAGGATAGAATTCTTATCAGTGCGTGGCTTAACACCAGCAAAGATGCGGTGGTTGGCAATGAGCAGAAAGGTGCTGCGTTTTGGAAGAGAATTGTTGAATTCTACAACGCAAGCCCTCAATTGGTGGGAACAACACCTAAAGAGCTTGGTCCGTGCAAGCAGAAGTGGGCAAGGATTAATGAGCAAGTGTGTAAAGTTGTTGGAGTCTATGACGCGGTTCTGAGGGATGAGAGGAGTGGTCAGAGCGATGATGATCTGATGAGTACTGCCTTAACCAACTTCAACAATCAGTACAAGCAGAGGTTTAGCATGGAACACGCGTGGAGGGATTTGAGGCACGACCAGAAATGGGCCTCTACCTATCTTTCTAAGGAAAAGCGCAAAGTGGTGGACCTGGATAGAGCAGAAGAAGATGAAGTGGGACAATCAGAGGCTCGTCCCATGGGTGTGAAAGCTGCTAAAGCTGCAACGAAGAAGAAGAAGAGTGGTCGAGAAGAGTCACTGTCTCAGTTACAGTCCATCTTCAAAATGAAAGAGAAGATCCAAAACAAGAAACTTCTTGAGCGGCTACTCGCCCAAAAAGAGCCACTTAATGAGATGGAAACAACTCTTAAATTTAAGCTTATGTCTCAGATGATATGAGTTTAGGTATGAGTTTTAGATATGTGCTTAGTTTAGGTATGAGTTTTAGATATGTGCTTAGTTTAGGTATGAGTTTTAGATATGTGCTTAGTTTACGTATGAGTTTTAGTTTAGGATTCCTTCTAGTTACATATGTAGTTTCTATGTCTCAGTTTAAACGTGTTTCTAGTTACATGTTGTTTTACAATTATTCTTTAAAACTAACTCTTTTATCTTGTTTGTGCTGAGTTGTATCAGGTACAGCAGTAGCCATGTGAAGGAAGTCACGGGTGGATTTGAAGTTGTTAAAGTCGTTTGGTCTTTAGCAAAAAGGTGAAGAAGTCACGGGCTCAACTGTTTAACTTTATGTAGTATAAGTAGTAGTGATGGGTTGTCTCTAGTTATCTATCTCGGCTTTAAAAATTTGTATCCTCTTTTATCACATTGCCTCCCGTTCTTGTTTTGCTCGGTGAGGTTGTATTTTGGGTACAAGTACGTTGTTGTTTCACTTTGGCTCAAGTTGTTGCATCTCCGAGCATTCCCTTTTGTATCACTTGTGTTTAGGTACCACTTCTAGCTCTTCTATTTGTCGTAATAACTTGNATCTATCTCGGCTTTAAAAATTTGTATCCTCTTTTATCACATTGCCTCCCGTTCTTGTTTTGCTCGGTGAGGTTGTATTTTGGGTACAAGTACGTTGTTGTTTCACTTTGGCTCAAGTTGTTGCATCTCCGAGCATTCCCTTTTGTATCACTTGTGTTTAGGTACCACTTCTAGCTCTTCTATTTGTCGTAATAACTTGCTTGTTTATGTACCACTTCTATTTTAACTAGTAACTTGCTTGTTTCGATTGTTAACATGTGTAGTGATGGGTTGTAACTTGTAAGTTGTAGAAAGTACTTGCATCTATTTTAAACAGAAATGTGTAGGACAAGAGTAAACACTTGTAGTAAAGAACAATTCATTCTCAAGTTCTTGCATCTATTTTAAACGACAACATGCAAACACTTGTAGTAAAGAACAATTCATTCAGATGCAAACACTTGAAATATAAACTTGAAATAATTCATTCAGATGCAAACACTTGAATCTGTTACAATTACAAATTTTATTTAAGGATACTTGAAATAAAAAAAATCAGACTAATATTTAATAGACACTTAAGGATTCTTGAAAAATATGGATTCTTGAAATTAAAAAGACTAATATTTATGGATACTTGAAAAAAAGACTAAAATATTTATTAGACATTTATGGATACTTGAAAAAAAGACTAAAATATTTATTAGACATTTATGGATACTTGAAAAAAAAAATTTAGACTAATATTTATTTGACATTTAAAGATTATTCTTACTTATTTCGAAAAACTTAAATGTTTTTTATTTATTTTTAAGGAGGAATTACGAACATGTCATCATCTTCATCCAAAGAAATAGATGAAAGATTGGATGAAATTATCGATGATATCTTCGAAGAAACATGCAACGACATAGTGGAGGCCCAATCCGTTATCCCAAAGAAACGTGCTTATATAGAACGACACCGCGAGACGGGACATGACCGTTTATGGAATGACTACTTCAGCGAAGATCCGGTATTTCCAGCACATTTATTCAGACGCCGTTTCCGTATGAACAAGGACTTATTCATGCGTATTGTGCATCGCCTTTCGGAGAACATTCCATTCTTTCAACAAAGAAGAGATGCAACCGGGAGGTACGGTCTATCTGCACTACAAAAATGTACGGCAGCAATTCGTATGCTTGCTTATGGTTCCGCGGCTGACGCGGTTGATGAATATCTCCGACTTGGTTCAAGCACGGCTCTCTCTTGTCTGCGACATTTCGTTGAAGGAATTATCCAGTTATTTGGCGAGGAATATCTACGAAGACCCACACGAGAAGATCTTCAGCGGCTACTCGATATTGGAGAAAGCCGCGGGTTTCCTGGTATGGTCGGAAGCATTGACTGTATGCATTGGAAGTGGAAAAATTGTCCAACCTCTTGGAAAGGACTGTACGCCCGTGGGTCAGGAAAACCGTCAATTGTCTTGGAGGCTGTTGCTTCACAAGATCTTTGGATATGGCACGCGTTTTTTGGTCTTCCAGGTACCTTAAACGATATTAATATCCTCGATCGGTCTCCTGTTTTTGATGACATTGTTCATGGTCGGGCTCCCACGTTAGAGTACATGGTCAACGGACACAAGTATAATTTGGCGTACTACC